ATTGGCGTATTTTCATGCAATTGGATAATTCTAAGAGGATTTTCTGTAGCGGTATTGTTGACGAGGGTTGTGTGTATAATGGTGCGGTCGCCTTTCTAACTCCTCTTTGTCGGTTTAGCAGCTGTTCTTGGTCTAATGGTTCCGCCTAAATAATAATACAGATGGCAGTTCGCACATCCCCCTTAGCACATACATATTCACCGGGGGATGGAGAATATGTATGTGCTATGTGTGCACTGCTATATGTATCTAATATTCGGCTCTATTGAGACAAATTGGTGGTCATATAGGATGTTTGTTATGTGGTTTTCATTTTTTTATGTGATAAGGTATGGTTTTCGTTTTTTTATGGGATAAGGTAAGTTTTCATTTTTTTTTTGAATAAAGAAGAGTAAAAAAATTTATTCTTGGTACCTATTTATGCTAAAATGTGGCTGCGTCAACGCTTTAAAAATATTTGATAGATGCTTGATAGATGATTGATTCTACTACCATTATTAACATTACAAATGTTTGATATTATTTGTAGACAATACCGATACAGTATCGCGTGCTTGGGTGCATTCCCTGCCGATATGCGCAAAATATTGTCCCAGGTTTTGAATTTTAAGCTACCAATTATTTCTTCATGACTAATTCTTTGAATAGGAGAGGTGCGACTGGTAACTCGTTCTACAACAATCTAATAAAACAATGCAACAAATTATAAATGAATGGATTCCTTTTGAAAGATTTGTCATTGAATATCTTGCAAAAAGAGGCTTTGGATCAATTTATCAAGCAGCCTGGTTGGATGGACCATTAATGGAAAATGGGATCATGATTTAAACGACGGAGAGAATGGAGTGGGGTAACCGATGCAGTACTGCGACGTGTAGGGGCAGTATCTGACTCCAGCCTCATTGAGTGACAAGAAATTGTCACTTGGTGGGGCTTGGGTGTTTTTAACCAGACGGTTAGGTGGGAGAAGAATGATTGGAGAATTGGGCGGAAAGGAAGGAGTGGATGGATTTATTAGATGGTGATTGCAAATCAACAAATCAAAGGATCACATAAATCATACATATCATACAAGTCATGCAAAAATACAAGTCAACAAAATCAAAAAATCACATACATCATCCAAGCCATGCAAAAATGCAAGTCAACAAAATCAAAAAATCACATACATCATCCAAACCATGCAAACATGCAAGTCAACAAAATCAAAGGATTACCCAAGTCATGCAAATATGCAAGTCAACAAAAATCAAAGGATCACATATATCATACATGCCATGCATACATGCAAGTTTCAAACAAAATCAAAGGACATTTTAATTTATTAAAAACATTAATTCGAAGACATTATTAAAAGCAAGCATTAATTGCTTAAAAACATTCATTGCACTGAATTCATCGTGCACTTTTTATAAACATAAAATTAAAACTTTTGACTTGCATAAGATAGATTAATTAAAAATTATGCAATCACCTAGGAGGGTTATATAAAAAACTACACTGTAATTGTAATTATAATTTATAGTAATATTATTTGTAATATTTAAATTTATTTTAATAAAAAAAAATATGAAAAGTATTTTTAAATAAATATTAGTGAAAATGTGTGAAGTTGTGTGTCTGGTCGCTTGTTTAGTGTAATATGAAAATTTGATTAATGAATATATTTAGGTTTGGAAATCTCGGGATTTTAGGCGTTCGGGATTTTGGACGTCGAGATTTTGGGGGTAAATCTGCTATTTTTATAATAAATGAAATTAACTGAGAACGGAAATGTTCGAATACAATATATTCTTGGTTTCGTTATTGAAATGACATGGGAACTCGAGAAGGCAAGTAAGCCCTTGTTTTACAGATTAGTTAATTTTCACGTCCTTCAAAAAGGGCGTGGGGCGCCGGTAGAAACGCTGGACAATGTAATCGGATTTGTTATTACAGTGAGATCGATACTTTAGATTCTAAAAATTTCCATTGTATTTTTAATAAATTTAATAAAAAGCAATTGCATCATACCAATTATTAATAAAAATATTAATAATTACATTTATTCGAATTATAATTATAATTTACGATTATCAAAAATTGTTTTTTTCCATCATTTATAATATCAATATCAATATCAAACGTTGTAAGATTGTAAAACAACCATATTGATAAATTTTACCTTCATTTGCTTCGTTAGTTTGACGTTTGTTGATTTGGCATCGATATCATATTCGGTAGTCACATATGCTAGTAAACAAGTACTTTTAGTAGTAGATTAATGTAAACGTTTATTTTTGAAAAATAGCTCATAAAACCATCTTTTTGTGTTCTAACAAAAAATGTTCCTTGCGAAGTTTTCTGGTGTTCTTAATCCATATGATCGAACATTTACCGTTATTATTTGAATACTGCAATCGTTAAGGTTTTAATTAATTTAAATGATTTGATTAAGCATTTATCCAGTTTTAGATTTTAAAATTATCAAATTTTTTATTTATTAACACCTACTGTATTTACAGACTTTTAAAAATCTAAAAATAGTTTACTTCAAAAAAAGTTAATAAGTGACTTTACCATAGTAAGCTCTCGATATAGTAAAGACTAATTAAATTCTTGATATAATAAGTTTGAACTCAAAAAACAGTCTATATTACATTCTCCCGATATAATAAATTTCATTAATAACCTGAATGCCTTTACTATATCAAGAGTCATTTGTATTATTAAAGAAGTTAGTATGAAAGAACTAACAGTGATCTTCAAACAATATCAGTTATTAGAACTTATTAAAAATGTTGAAATTTCGGATTACTAATTAAAGAACATGTAATTGAAAAGTTGCTCTAATACTAATACAAGTAAGTAATCATTAATCGGATAGTACAATTGATTTTAAGATATCTTTAATTAGTAAGAACTACTAAGGCACCGTTAACCGAAGTCGTCTAAATTGAAAGTTTGTCCCAGGTATAGTTAGTAAATCCACCTCGTTAAATTTACTAAGTAAATCTCGGCTTAACAGGAGTACCTTAGTAGTTTTCCTCCCAATTTGATTTTCCAAATTAGGGAACATTTCATATTTTATATTTTGTAATACCACAAACCATCAATTGAGAATTTTCTAACGATTTTTAAAAAATTTTAGTTTTTACTTTATTCTCCATATCTTTATAATATAGCACAATATAATTGGCCTGTTCCGTCAATTTCTATTAATAATCATGATATCATTGTTGATCGATTGCTTTGTTTGTTGATAAAGAATTACATCAATCATATCATTTATAATTCTTTGATTTTAATACAAAATAATTGGCATCTATAGATGTTAATTTGATTAGCTTTGTAATACGGCTTTATCACGTGCCTTAATTAACAATGGGACGAGCCTCTTTCGCATGTGGCTTTGTATAACAGTAATGATAAATGAAAAAATGTCATTTTCCTTATTGACAGATCTTTTTTGGCAGATATTCTTAAATAGATGATCAGTGGTTGAAGATTTTTATATCTTACCTTTTCGTGCTTTTTTTCTCTTTTTTCTAAAACAGCTGTTGGATATATTTATTTTTAGTTAGATAAATAACAAACAATATCAAATAAAAATGTCGAAAACCAACGATAAAAAATCACTCTCTTTACATTTCATTGCTGGCGGTGGTGCCGGTCTCACAGAAGCATTATGTTGTCATCCACTTGACACAATAAAAGTGAGGATGCAGTTGAGCAAAAAGGTAAGAAAAGATGTATTATATAATGCACTAAACCATATCATAATTGATAACGTATAAAGGCGTTAATCAATACGCTTTATATCCTTTTGTTCACTTCCTTCGGTCTTTACTCATTTTCTCTATATCTATCTAGTCGCCAAGACCGGGTTTCATTTCAGTTGCCGTAAACCTCGTAAGGAAGGAATCCCCGCTAGCTTTGTATAAAGGTTTAGGTGCAGTGGTTACAGGTATCGTCCCGAAGATGGCGATAAGGTTCTCTAGTTTTGAATTGTACAAAACCTGGTTAGCAAACAAAGATACTGGCAAGGTATCGACGACTGCTACGTTTTTTGGTAAATATATCTTCGCATTGGTCTTGATCAATCAAATTATTCACGATTATCCTTTTTCCCTGAAAATTGATGATGCCTTTCCTTATTTATCTTGGTATTTTAAGCTGGTCTTGGAGCTGGTATCACGGAAGCAGTAATGGTAGTGACACCAATGGACGTGATAAAAATCCGGTTACAGGCACAACGTCATTCCCTAACCGATCCATTAGACATTCCAAAATATCGTAATGCTGCGCACGCCGCATTCACTATTGTAAAGGAGGAGGGTGTGCTAGCGTTGTACAAGGGAGTTACATTGACGGCACTTCGACAGGCTACAAATCAGGCGGTTAACTTTACCGTGTATCAGGAGATGAAAAAACGAATGAAACATATACAAGGAACAAAAGATGGGCAAGAGTTACCGAGTTATCAGCATTTATTAATGGGTGGAATTAGTGGTGCTATGGGTAAATTTTTGGTTTTTGTTGAATTCTGCAAGCTTTTTTTTTTTGATATTCTAATAATTATTGATGTAATTGTCAGGTCCTCTCGCTAACGCCCCAATCGACACAATTAAAACTCGTATTCAACGTTCAAGTAGTCCCGAAAAAGGCTGGTCCAGATTCAAATCGGTGACCGTTTCCTTGATCCAGAATGAGGGTTACTTCGCATTGTACAAGGGTCTACTTCCACGTTTAATGCGCGTCGGTGTAGGACAAGCAGTGACATTTGCGGCATATGAGCGAATTAAAATTTACATGGAGATTTTGTCACGGCAAGGTTGGTTTGCGGTTGATGAACGAGCATGAGGAAATAATAGATCGAGAAGGTGGGAAATATGTGAAACAAAGGACCTTGGGAATCTAAACTTAATTACATCTTTATAATTACATCTTTATAATCCTTATTTATTCGATTAAGAGTTGAAGAAATATTTTGTGTTTTTGATTATATTCGTTCATTCTATGATTTTGTTATTTATGAATTTTTATATACAATTTTTATATAGATAGACGCTTCAAATAATAAATAAATAATAGTAATAATAAAATATGATAAAACTTACTTACCTTATATATACAAAAAAAGAGTAGATTTAAATTAACTTATCTATCTACGCTTATCAACGTCATTGTTACTATCGTCGTTAGAATCTTCGAATTCAAAATTAAACGAAAACTTCTTCACCTCGCTATTTTCATTTCCGTTTTCGTTATTCTTTATTTTATCCCACGTCGATTTTATTGGATTATTCTTATTAACGAACTTTCGTTCATTTTCCAACTCTATTTTTTCCAAAACACCCTGATACCTTTCTCGAAATGCTTCTCGGAACGTCTTATAAATATCTCTACAATTCTCAAAGCTATTCCCAAACCCGGAAATTTGATCAGGTTTATCGCGCAAGAAACAAAGCACGTTAAGTAGATTATGAGTGCCCACGAAATTTTGCGTCTAATCGTATGGATCGACATAAATAAACTTGTGGTAAATTTCGATTATGTCTTGATATTAAATAATAATTCTAAAATAAAAAAATGGCTCACAATAGCAATAGAATCTTCCAGATTCACAACCATATGCCACCATCCATTCGGCACAAAAATGATTTCCCCGGCTTGACACACACCTTCTAGAGGACGTGGATGTGATCTTTGAGCTTCCTTATAAAAATTAAGATGCCATTCCATCAAAGAAATTGGCGAGGTGACTTCAGCCTCGTCTTCAATAATAGAGCGCCATCCGAAAACGAAAATGTTTTAATTAAGATATGTAACGACCGGGTAATTTAATTTCCAATTATCTTTCATAGAATAATGTTTCTAATACCATCACTAGTAAAAACGCCTGGCGGTAAAATATTGGGTGGATACATGATCCATTTCTTGGAACCAGTGATTACAGCGTTCCAGGCCGATGTCGAGTTCGGGTCTTTATGAAATGTTGAGCCTGCACGAGATGGTCCTATAATAAGCCATCTTTTATAACAAAATCAATCCCTTTTTAAAAAACTAGCACAAAAAATAAAAAAATAGACGTGTAAAGCAAAGATTGCCTTTCTTCTTTTACATACTACATACCTATAATCTGGTCTATTTTTATCAAGCACTTTAAAGAAATCCTCGGCAAAATATTCTGGGACACTATAATCATTTTCTATCCCATAACACTTCTCCGCAAAATTTTTATCAAACAAATATAAGGGGCTCTCGTCCATATTACTATTTGCTGCGTACCTCGCGTATTCACGTAACTTGATATCAATAGCTTCCGCGCGAAACACTACATCACCCCACTTTTCAACAAGATAATCCATTGTCCATTTCTTGTATGCAGGCCACTTAGTAACCACATCTGTAATTATTACAGGTTTATTTGGTTTCGCGTACTCAGCTATAAACGCATCCATACTCAAATTGGCACGTCGATCGATCGAGTCTTTGCCGATAAACTCATCCATTGGTGTAGTGGCACATAAAAACGGTTGAAATAACACATCGCTATAAAAGTGGTTGAGTTTGACGACAGAAGTAGTGGAAAAAACTGAGTTGATACCATTTGGGCACGCGTCACGATGACAATAATATTTTCCGAGAAAAGTTTGACGCCAACTTCCTTGCCATTGCCAATTTCCTTTAAACTTTTCAATTACAAACGTTTTCCATAAGTCGTCAAAGAATGCAAAGCAGTACAGAACTTTACTGGTTGCTTGAAGGCTTAATAAATCGCGGTGACTAAGCAACCCAAATATCTCGACTAGTATTTCGTCTGCCAGTACAGCTAGTTTACCAAGACCAGAAGACCGACAATCCCCTTTAATATTGCTATTTGTGCAGTCAAAATAATAGTTGCCCCATGGTTTAATACCTAATGGATGGCTTCTTATTAGATGAAGACGCTTCTGCTCATGAGAGTCATGGAAATCAGAACAATCGCTGACAAGACGTTTTCGCATGTTTCAAAAAAATTTTACGCCACAAAAGCCATAATTAGACCATTAATTAAAATTCTAGCATACCTATCATGTCATATTCCCTTCGTCGATATGCGGATGCACGGCAAATCTTTCCCACCCGGAGTCATCTAGCCGACAATTCAATGTCCTGCTACCAAAATTGGAAAAGTAAAAAGTTTTATTGTGCACATTCCATTTTTCTTAAGTGAACGAAAACTCGGGCCTGAAAGTTGTTTCCGATAACCTTCTGCACACACACGAATACTCACCAAATTACTACTCGTGAAACGTTGATTTACGTAAAATATTTTCAAATCCCTGTCCTAACTAGACAATAGTATTAATGTTGTTGGTATATCAATCAACCTGCCTCTTGCCATTTTTTTTCTCGGTTGTTGCTTTTTTATCTATCTACTTGCACGCACAAAACCTTCAACTTTTATCAAAGACAAAAAACCTATACTTTTTACCTATCATACAAGAAACTTAAAATGTCTACTACCATCACCACCACTGCCGCCACTACCAACAACAGCAACGCTTCCTCCTCCACCACGACTAACTACAAAACTTTTCTCGAATATCCTTCTTCGCTCGAGGAAGCTAACAAGACATACAAACAAATTGCGTGCAACTTCCATAACAAAGTGTTATATCCTAAAGTTAATCAACCGAGTGATGAAGACTATGGGGCTTGCGTTTGTGAATACCAACCAGGTAAAAATTTAGTTTATTTTGTTTGGCACGGGTACACGATATGTGACTCGTTAACGGATACATAGCCAATGAACGGACATAACTTGGTTTGACGCGAGTAATGGCTATTATTATAATGCGCCGCAACTCAATGATACATCAACACACTGCGATGATTTGATAACATCATTTTCTAAGATAAAGAAAGAAATTGTCTAAACTATACTTGAAGATTGATAACATTGAGATATAATAATGCCCGGCGTTGCTGTCCGCTTAGTTAAGATTAGAAAGTATTGTTCGCTTGTAGTTAAAACACATGAAAACTAATCGTGAAAGAAACAATTTCTAACGAAATTTTTACCTTTCTTTATTAATAAAGGCGATTCAACCGACGATGCATGTGGGTCAGAATGCATTAATCGCGTGTTATTCATCGAGTGTACAAGCGATTGTCTTATTGGTGAATACTGTAGGAATCGAAGGTAAGATTTTAACGGTCTTCATGCGATTCTTATATCTTTAGAAAAGTATTTGATCAAATATAATTCAATATATGCTATCGATCTTCTAATTATAGATTTCAGCAAGCTGAGTATGCTAAAGTAGATGTATTTAAGACGGAATCTAAAGGTTATGGATTACGAGCTATGGAACCCATTAAAAAGTAAATATATTTTTGTCTAGAATTAGCCACGAAAGAATTAGTCAAATATGGTCTTTTCAATTTACAATCAGCACGCTCTGCATTTATTATCTATAGAAATACATTCATCATCGAATACACTGGCGAAATTGTTCCAAAAGACGTCTTCTACCAGCGACAGACAGACTATGCAAAAGAAGGGATTGAGCATTTTTATTTCATGAGTTTGACAAATGGGGAGGTAACTTTTTCAAGCTCTTTTACTCTTTATCTATATTTGATACGTCATCTAATTTCAAAGGTTATCTCTTCTCTTTTATGAATAGCTTATTGACGCAACTAAGAAAGGATGTATAGCAAGATTTATGAACCATTCTTGTAACCCCAATTGCTTTATCCAAAAGTGGATTGTCAATAAGAGAACGCGCATCGGAATCTTCGCTCTTCGTGATATCGTATTGGGAGAAGAACTTACATTTGATTATAATACAGATAGGAAGGGGTAAGTTTTGCTCTATTGCAAAAAATGATTCGGATCTCTAGTGGATTTGGGGATTTCTGTCGATTCTCAGATCCATCATTACAAAATAATGATCCTCAGGTTGGATCACATTCTTATATTCAAATCATTTCCAATAATGTTCTGATACATGATTATAATCTCTGCTAGAATGGCTGCCCAAAAATGTTACTGTGGCGAAGAGAATTGCTGTGGATACCTTGGTGGTCAAAAAGGATCGGATGATGAATCAGATGAGGACGAAATCGTCCCGATCGAAGATCCAGAAGATGTTCCTGAGTTTATAAGAACAATGATTCATACATTACATAATCGTGATGAAGTACTTGACATACTACATCGTCTTGAGGTATGCGATATTTTTTTCTTATTGCTTCCAGTCAATATAGGAAATCGATATTTCTTAATACAAATTTTTTTGGCAATTCATAATAAAAACTTTTTTTTAAATTTAATGATAATAGATCACGGATGATAATGCCGTTTTCAGCAAATTTAAGCATCTTCACGGGTTACTTGTTTTAAAGGCGTACCTAGTCGAATGGAGACAGGATGATGAGATCGTTCTGAAGGTATATTATTTTATGACATCATTTATGAATTTTTTAATATTTAAACGTTACAACAACAGTTATATTATTATTGTATGTTCATCATCTTTTAATGTTTTTTACTAGACTTTAGAAGTGTTGCCAAAACTACCAATTTTGGCTCGAAATACCATAACTGACGCTAAAATTGAAGAGAAAATGGAGATATTCAAGGAACGGTCCCCGCGGATGAAAGAGTTGGTCGATGCTGTGAGCATTTCTTTTCATTTTTTTTCGGCTTTATATTGGTTTTCTTGAATTTGTTGGCGAATAAATTATTTTTCATTTTACAGCTCCTGGAAAAATGGGGAAGTCTGACTGTTTTACACAGATGTCCAAAAAAGACTGTACGTACATTATTAAACAAGAGATTTCTTTAACTTTTAATTATCTCATTACTTAGCCTTTTGCTCAATTGTGACAATACATATTAAATATCCTTAGAAAGAGCAACTCGAACAAGAACAGAAACTCTTGGAAGAAGAGGAAGCACGTAAAGCAAAAGAATTGGAGGAGGAAAAACGAAAAAAAGAAGAAGAAAAGAGAAAACGCGAGGAGGAAGAAGCACAAGCTCGGCGAAGAAATTATTACAACAATCGCAATCACAATTCTTCAAGACCTTACACGCACTACACTCCTTATCATGACAACCGTAATCATCATCCTAATAGTAACAACAATAATGATCAAGAACGAAGGCCGAGATATGAATCCAGTCGTGACTTTTATGATTCGTACAGACCATCTTCAACTGATTCGTATCGGCCATCGTATCATAACAATAACAATAACAATAATAATAACAATAATAATAGTAGTAGTAGTAGTAGTAATAGTAGCAATGGACCAACATCCACATCTACAGATCGATATCGTCCTACTCCACAGTTAGTTGCGCGTCATCAACAAAGAAGTCCAAATAAAGGTGAAAGTTCGGATACAGCAGCAGTAACTAATAAAAATAAAGCAGCAACGTCATCACCACAAGCACCACCTCAACCACCACAGCCAACATTGTCATTACCTGATCCCACTTCACTACCGCAAGTTCCAAAAAATATCGAACCAGGTTCGTTGCCACCAAATTGGTGCGAAGTTGTTGGCGATGAAGGTCAAATATACTATTTCAACGTAGTCACCAACAAGACGCAATGGGAAAGGCCAGTTGTGGAAGATCGACAGACATTAGAGGGGTATAGTGTCGCGTCGATCAACGCGGTGATTGAGCGGGTGATGGCTTCACAGCAAATTGCTGTGGAGCCAGAGCCACAAGGTGGGGCGAAGGAGGAACCGGCAGCTGCAATGAGTGAGAGTGAATTTAAGGAGGAGGTAAAGAACTATTCGCGTGTAATATTAAGTTTTTTTTGTTTGAATCTTTTAGAAATATTAATTCCATATTATCTTGTCTTATTAAATAGTTACAAAAATTGGTGATTGATCGTTGCAGCCGTTGGAAAGGAGAGTTTACGGTGGCGGAGTTCAAGAAACACGCCAGGAGGGTGAGTGAAATTATTAAGCTTCATTAATCATTATTTATTATTATCAATTCTAATCGATCTAATTATTTTAAATATTTTACATAAATAGCTGGCCCACCTGGTCGTGGAAAAAGAATTCCGCCGCCAGAAGGAGGGGGCTTACACTGTGACCGACTCCCTTCGGTCACGCATCAAGAAGTTTGTCGCCGACTATGTCGGCAAACTTCTCGCGCACCGAGGGGAGTCCCTCGAGACTTCCTCTTCTGCTGGTCAGAAGAGAGGTCTCGAGGGCCGCTCGGAGGCGGGTCACAAAAAACAAAAAAAATAAAAAAAAAATAAAAAAATAATAGACATTTTTAATGTATATATAATATATAGACTTTGTACAATAGAATAATTACAATTTGGTTTAATATTATTTTCTCTATGAAGTTTGCGCGTTATCGTGTGTGAAATTGATGTGCGCCTTGTGCACATGTTTTTTCGGAACTAACTTGTAATTTCCATTACGGCAGATTTGCGTAATGGAAATCCATTGAACAATCATTACCCATATATAGCAATTTATCATCAATTTGGTCAAAATGGTTTTCCTTACGCACATCTACCGTAATGCAAGTGTAATTTTGCTAGTGAATTTTCTCACAGACTCAGATGTGATGGATCTTCATGTACCATCTATGATCCACTGATAAATTCAATTATAGAACTCCCGCTTTCTTTTTTTGTTTCTACTTCAAAACAATGGCGGAACTTCTTCATCACCCTACCTTTGAGCTGTCTTTACGTTTTGCAGGAACCACTGTAGGCCGTGAAAAAGTCTACAGAGCCGTGCAATACTTTTCTCGGTTCTTCGCTTGGTACCTTTATCGACAGGGTTATAGTAAAGAGACTGTGCAACGGTTTTCTAACTTGAAAGCCACGCTTGCTTTGTCGCGAAAACGTACATATTTAATTCTAGCTTCAGTTTTTTTTGACATTTGCGCTTTGATATAGATGCAAAAGAATAGTAAATGTAAATATGTTAAATTTGTAATTTTTTAAAAAAGTTATGCGTCTTGGAAAACCACTTGAACATTTGCAAGCTGCTTCAAAAGCCTTCAATGATTACGACGAGTTTACGAGGTTTACTTCTATTGGTAGACAACTTGGCTATGCTGGCTACTTATTCTGGGATACGTTTGTCTGGGTAAATTATCATGTATTTCACGTCACATCTCTCTTTTTATTACGATATAGATACTATATGATTTTATTATATATCACTATTAGCTTCACTTATCGGGAGTCTATAAGTTCCAACAAATCAAAAAAATCAATCAAAATGCAGCCAGATTTTGGTTATTTGGAATAGTTTGCTCCATATTCAATAGTCTTTATAAGATACGACAACTTGGCCTCGCTCCCCGTTTACGTAAGGCAAAGATTGCGGAAACTCTTGATGATACTGCTACCGAAGCTAAAGGAACCGAGTGCGTACATACCGTGTATAATACATATACGATCGAGTTTATTATTAATATTAACATAAACTATATTTATTGTTTTAGTGAGCGCAAACGTGTTATACACCAATTAGTGCAAGACTGTCTTGACGCTACGTTACCAGCCACTTCACTGGGCTACCTTAACTTCGATGAAGGATTACTTGGCATCTTTGGATTCATCACTTCGATTATGGGTATTCAGAATCAGTGGGCAAAAGTGAAATCGGGATCTCGTAAATGACTTATTGATGAATATATAAATAAATTTAGTTGAGAACTTGTTATTTTCTTTGGGATCAATTGGCGTAAAGATAAATGTTGTTGGTCCGTTATTTACTAAAATAAGGCTTGGAAATTTCCTTTTCTTTAGGAAGTAGATCGTTAATAGTAGTTAAAATCAATTGTATTGTGTGTAATTTAATTTGGTCATTTTGATTTTCTTCTATTAATTTTAAAATTAGTATTAATAAAATATAAAAATTTTTTAATTATGCAAACCTAAAGATATTCATACTCGTATTCAAATTTTTATTAACAAGAAAAATCCCGATTTTACTTCATCTTCGCGCTCTCTGCTTAACAACCCATTTATTCGGTTGTCTTCTAGTTTTACCACCTTTAGCCAAAACACCCCAAGGACTCACAGGATGACGATTACTTTTACTTTTACCACGTCCACCACCGTGAGGATGGTCAACTGCGTTCATCGCCACACCTCTAACCGTTGGTCTTCGCCCTAACCATCGAGACCGACCCGCTTTTCCGAGCATACGATGTTGATGATCAGGATTTGACACGGTACCAATAGAAGCGCAACATTCAACATGAATCAGGCGAACTTCACCAGATTTGAGTCGAATTTGCGCATATCCTTTTTCCCCAGTTTGCACAACTTGAGCTGAAGTGCCAGCAGCGCGACACAAAATTCCCGCGCCGTTAGGTTTAAGGCCAACACAATGAATTAAGGTGCCCACTGGTATCATTCTTAACGGCAGGCAATTTCCTTTGACTATTCTGGCCATACGCGAAATTGCTGGATCATAAATCTCTTCAGCTGACGAGGTTGTGGTTGTAGCTTGTAATTTCTTATCGGCATTAACCTTTGGCGCCGTACGAAAAGACTCGACGATCGATCCGACTTCAAGACCATGTGGCGCGAGTATATAAGAAAGTTTCCTGGTTTCTTTGTGCCTTAATAAAGCAATATGCCCCGATCGATTTGGATCATACTCGATACGAAGAACTTCTTGCGGACCAGGATCCCACCTTTTGAAATCTACTAATCTAATTCGACGCTTATGCCCTCCACCACGGTGCCTTACCGTGATATGTCCATGCACGTTACGTCCGCCAGACTTACGTAAGGGTATTGTGAGTTTCTTGACTGGTCTTCCTTTGAACAAATGGTCGTTGATTGGACGACGAAGCCATCGACGTCCTGGTGACACAGGTTTATATGTTTTAAACTGTCCGGGTGCTGAAGTCGCATATTCCCTAATAATTTTCGGAAAATTGGCACACTTATCAGAACCAAGTTTCGTTAATTCCAAAGAATTCCGTGTAACGAGGCTAGAAACTCTTGCATCTGATAATTTATTACAAAGGTTAAATTTGTTTGTCGTTGGTCCTATTGAAGTTACAATACCCTTACAAAACGAGCCATAGGTTGTGGGTCTAGGCGGAAAAAAAACGCGTTTAAAAAAATGCATAAGCAACCTCATTTATTCCACGAGGAGTTATTTTTTCCATCCAATTAATTCTTCAACCTGCAAGACCTCACCTGACTTACCGCATCAACCCAAAAGTCGCACGATTCCGATCATTGGCCAAAAAACTTTTTTCACACAAAATAAAAAAATTTGGACGATTGCCTCTCCCATTTATCATTTATCATTTATCATACATAGTCGCAACAAATGATAATAGAACAAGAACGAAACTCAAAAGTTACCTCGTCTACTCCCTCTGGAGTCATTGCTGATTATGAACAACAGCAACAGCAGCAGCAACAACAAAGAGAGCAGCAACAGCAGCAACAAGTCCTTAAAAAATTGCGAACCGAAGACGGTTTCGCGACAACAAAAGTTGTTAATAATGAAATTAGTAATACGGCGGTCGTTATGAAAGAAACTGGAAGTAACAATAGTGGAGGGACTAACGGAGCTGAGATAAAAAAACCAAATTACGAGTTAAAGTATACGTTGGTGGGGCACAAGAAAGCTGTGTCTAGCGTAAAATTCTCTCCTGACGGAAAATGGCTGGCTAGTTCTTGTGAGTATAATAATGTAACGGATACTGTAGCAACACGCATTTCTCAGCCTTTTGCTCTACATAGACCGAGTGTGTGGAATGCTTTAATTTATCGATAACCCATGGATGCATCACATAATACACGTGTTCTATTTCCTCCTCCTTCACACACATATATATTAATATAATACAATTTCGAATTTGTGTATCTCAGCTGCCGACAAAACAATCAAAATTTGGAATGCATTAGACGGCAAATTTGAACGAACATTAGAAGGACACTCGAAAGGTATTTCTGATGTAGCCTGGGCTGTTGACTCGATGTATCTTTGTTCCGCTTCTGATGATAAAACAATACGAATCTGGAGTTTAAATTCGGTATGTTAAATATTTTCAAATTTGCATATTTTCTGTAATGAATAACGCCCACTTTTTTTTGCTAGCGTATACTCGCCTAAATCTCCGTTATAATATTAATTTGATTATTCCATATTTGATTTAGACAGCTTGTGTCAAAACACTATCAGGCCACACAAATTTCGTGTTTTGTGTGAATTATAATCCGCAGTCAAGTTTAATTGTGTCAGGGTCGTTTGACGAAAGCATACGAATCTGGGATGTGAAAAAAGGTATTTTACTACTTCTTTTTTTGGTTATTAAATGGGAAATTTATCTTTCTTTGGGGATAACAAATGTTTCTTTATCAGGAGTGTGTATGAAAGTGTTGGCTGCACATTCTGATCCGGTCACCGCCGTACACTTTAATCGCGATGGCACGATGATTGTGTCGTGTAGTTATGATGGGTTAATGTAAGACGATGAAGTGTTTTTTAATTTTTGCACGGAATGATTGATTACTCTGTACTTATTACCCCCAAATTTATTACAATTAGTCGTATTTGGGATACAGCAACCGGTCAATGTTTAAAAACCTTAATTGATGATGATAATCCACCAGTGTACGAACTACAAAAAAAATATCATTCCATCAATTTTATTCCGCACTTATGAAGTGATTGATTTTAAGTTTCTTGTATAATAACAAATTAGATCCTTTGTAAAATTCTCACCAAATGGAAAATACATACTTGCCTCGACACTTGATAACACGCTTCGCCTATGGAACTACCATTCCGCGAAATGTTTGAAAACGTATCAGGGACACGTGAACAACAAATACTGTATATTTGCGAATTTTTCCGTAACTAGCGGGAAATGGATAGTAAGTGGGAGCGAGGATCATTGCATCTATATTTGGAATTTGCAGACTAAAGAGATTGTGCAGAAACTTGAAGGGCATGAAGGTATTTAAGTCGTTTGAGATTTGGTTAATTGGTTTTGAGATATACTGATGTTTTATATCATAATACACGTATCTCTATATGTGTAGATGTGGTGTTATGCGTGGCATGCCATCCTACACGAAATATTATTGCGTCTGGTGCCATTGAAAACGATCGAACAGTAAAATTATGGTTTGATACAACCTAAATATATATGCACAAAGAACATTTAAAAGACGCTGTCTTTTGTTTAATCTTGGTCTCTATTTTATCACCTCATTTCACTTGAATTATATAGCATTAGTAGAAGCTGAAGCAGGATCAGTAAAAAATATATATATAGTATTAGTTGTAGAGCTGATTAGAAAAAAAATTTATTTTATATAAAACATAGATCAAAAAAGTTGAGTTTTTTAATTAAAAAGAAAGTTAATTGTTGTGTTAGTAGAGACCAAAATAGATGAAAATCTATGATAAAATTATTTGTATTTGGACTTTTTTAACATCAATTTTAATTGCTGAATTCATCATGCAAAATTACATGATTATTTTCATACAAATATTTTATTTGGAAATGTTACTCCTTCAAAAAATTCGGCAGTGGCGAAGTACTTGATGACTATAAATGTTTTACACCATACAAATATTTTTATTTTTATTCTGATAAGTTAATTTAATTATTTGAAATATAATAATAATCATTACGACAATTCACTACGAACTCTTGTCGCCGTTATTTTCAAATTTTCCACGTCCTCTTGATGGTCTAATTCGAAACTCTAGACGCAAAAATTATGTTGTATGTACCTTTAATTTATAAATGCTGAATAAAAAAGTTAGAACGACCAAAATTACCTCATCGCAGGATTTCAAAAACACAATAATATTTTGACACCGCACTTTTCTCTCCCAACTCTTTGACGCGATACTGCACCGTGCTTTAATAGCACCAAATAAGCCTATCCAAATAATCACAGAGAATTCAAAAAACACAATTAAAAAAACATCTTTGCTTCGAAAAATTTGATCAAATTTCTTACAATTAAGTGATTCGACTTTTTGTCGCCACCCGCCAAACCAATCCCATTTCTCGAAAATAGCATGATCCGGGAAATGATCGCTAGTCGGATCATTGTTATAATGATTACGTATTAATCTTTTCAATTTTTCGCTGTAGTCGCGTTGTGTCTCTTGTAGATATTCAGTGTCATTCAGAATTGTCTCGAACCATACGTCAATGAATTCATCTTTGAAAGACTTTTTGGCAAAACATAAAATATAAAATAATTCAACAAAATAACATAGGAAAATTTTTATATTTAAATGTAAAACAATTTACCAAGAATATATTGTCGTCATCCTTCTTTTTTATCAAATTTGCACAGAAAATTAATGAAATCTGTCGACGCGCGTCAGTGTTGTGATTCCATCTGTAGCTGTATTCTCCACGAATCCAGTCATTGATATTCTAAATGAGAAGCGAAAGTGAATCATTAAAATTGCAAAAAAATAAGGATAAAAATAAAGTTGTATGTAGATTTACAGTTTTTAAACTATCCTGACTTGATGCCTGAAAGTTTTTGTGTGTTATCCACGCAAGCTCAGCGAAAAAGGCAACGGATTTTAATCGTAATTCAATATGCGTCTCTTGATATCTCTCCTTTCTGATATCTAGCAATTCAATTCAGAATATATAAAGAAAATTGTTAAATTAATTGGATATCCATTCAATGATTACCTTTATTGAAAATAAAGTTTGATAGATTATATAGTCGACGACTTAGATCCGCAAATAATATCTAAATAATTAAAAAATTCGCGTCAAGTATTATTATAATAAGTATGTAATTCTTGTAAAAATATCCGTACTCGATTTTCCTGGGTATCTTGCACAGTATCGACACTTTGTAGAATAATTTCCATTGATTCCAATCCTTTTATCAAACTCTGCTCCATCAGATGATAAGATGATGCCTCTTTCGTATTTTTATAAACAATATAATCTCCAATAATCGATTTGAAACGCGACCAAATCAAATGACACATTTTGAGAAACTCTGTATCACTTGCACCTCGTTTTTTAATCAACATCACCAGCTCTTTGGCATGCTTCAAATAATACGATCGTTTTAACAGTGACGCGCTTCCAAATTTTTTACTAGACATTATCATATCAAACTGTTCAATACTCTCAGATATTGACAACGGACGAATATATCTGGGAATGTTTCCGGCCAAAAAGCAAAACACCTCGCAACAGTTGCCTAGTGCTCGATCCACGGGATCCTCTTCGGAATGAAATTCTTGAACACGCGATGACAAAGTTCCAACGTGTCGTAGAATACACGAGTTCCAATTTTCGTGTTGACTTTGATTTTTCACGCGTGCTTTGAAATTTTCAAAATAATTTTGAAATGTACTTTCTTCAAATTGCGGGATCTTTTGATACATTTCTAATTCTATTTTCTTTGGTGGTGACGGTGTTTGTTTTATAGATGATGAGATTTTAGTATTCGCTGATGTTGTTTTTGAGAAAGCATATGTTCTTTGGGGCGGTAATGCAGATACAATTAAATCATCGTCAGCATCGGAATTATCCCCGACTTTCTCAGGATATTTATTCTCTTCTGATAAGACTTTCCGAAGTGACGGACGCGGGCTAGAACGTCGAATTTTTTTTGATGGGGGAGTTTTAAATTTGGGCGAAGGCAATGATGATAGAGTCGAAGAGATTTCCGAGCCATCGCCATCATTTAATTCGTCACTTTCATCATTAAAGTCATATCGATCAATCATCTCATTTTCATTTTCTTTATCATTATCTGATAAAATAGGTTCATCAGCTTCAGAAGAAGACTCTCTATATGCTTCATTTTCATTTTCCTCTTCTCTATCGTCTACCACTGGAATTAATTCCTCTTCCTCCTCTTCTTCTTCGTTTTCCTCATGATATTCATCATTCTCGGATTCGCTTTCAATACTTCCAAGACCCGGATTACTGTCAACATAAACAGGAACTCCTTGTTTCTCAGCAATGTACTTGTCTAGTTTGTATGGATGCAGTTGTTTGTAACTTCTTTTTCGGAAATTCCTTCGTTTCGGATATAACGAATTTTCTGAGCTCGAGCCCATGTTTGTTCTCTTTCTTAGGTTTTGCAAGGATTGTGGATGGAATGACGGGAAGAAAATATAAATAGAAAACAAATTGAAAAATATTGTGACAAATAAAAGATGAGACGCGCAAAGTTGATACGCGCCGTATTGGTGCGCGCAGCACGTGATTGCATTTAAAGTGATCGAGCATTTTTCAAATCACGAGGCATTTTCCATATTTTTCCTTTGGTTTTTTTAAAATGGTTGGTGTAGTTGGACATGTTACTGCCTGGGCGACGTTCGGGGTCGCTGTTCGAGCTTTTGCTTTGATGATTCAAAGGCGGCCCCTATTTCTTAGTAAGTTTAAAGTGTTTATAATATCTCCGTTTTATTGTAAAGTAACAATATTTGAGAGGCTGATAAATAAAAGAGAGCCATTTGATAATTAACTTTTAAATAAAGCATCCGTCATATTCAAAATTCTGATTTTCTCTCCAAACAAATAGATCCATCAACACATGCACTAACAGCTGCTGCATTTGCATCTGCTGGCTACTACATCTACCAGATAGAACAACGACAATACGAGATCATTGCGCAACGTAGAAAGGAATTGCTGGATAAACGAGAACTGAGAAAAACTATGGAGGCAAAACGGAAAGCGTATATAGAGGAACATCAATTGAGCACACCCATAGAACATCATATTTAATAATTATTAACACACGGCCGTTCATTGTTGATTTTATAGACATTTTTTTCAAGTTATTATTATCATATCGGTCATTGTCATCTCAAATTGTTATGGAAGATAAAGCAACTTTAATTATATTATTTTGTTTCAAATACAACCCGATTAATGCGGTTTTTTCTCCCGACTTGAGATGATCATCTATACAACTCAAATCGATTCAAGGTTTTTGCTCACGACAAAAAGCTCGATCGTCTGATTTCGACCCGACAAAACCAGACCAATAGAAAATTTTTTCGAATGCTTTCATTGACCGCACCTTTTTATGACAAACTTCTCACTTGTTCACCTTATTTAAAATCGTGTTTTTGACTTTTGCAAACCTAAGTTCCATTCTATATATAAAATCTTTATCGATTGCCCAAAAGATTCGCAATAATACAATTGAAACATGACCCAAAATAACTATTAATTTAGTAACGAAGAAGTTGACACTATTGGCATTTCCTCATTAATCCACATTTTCATTATCAGAATTGTCGGAATTCTGAAGATTATCATTATTCTTATGAACCAGAGATTTCCAATTGGTCTCTTTGTTGCAATTATTATCATGAACTAAAGATATTGATCTTCATCTTATGAGGGGTAAAGAGAATCTGATTGAATTTAGTAACAAAAAAACATCCAACGCACAGAAATTTCAGAAGGATTAACAAGCTCACCTTCTTCCATGCGAGCAAAAAAAAAACAAAATCGACTTTCACCATACCTTATCTAAAAGCGTGTTTTGAATTCACCTTAATAATGTTCTCCAATCTTAATACTCTGATAATTTTCTTTTCATTTTTTTTCTGAGTACAAGAAAAAATCGCTTCTAATTTGCGCACGCATTGTCGCTTGGTATGTTACACAGATAAAACGTGATCTCTGGTTTGATTGGAATTCATCTCTGTATTGGATTTAGCGTGGCCCTTGGACAATTTTGGACAGTTTAGATAAAATTTAATTAGTAATTTAATTATGTAGATATTTGGCCAACATGTTTGGGGCCAACCTTGATTGGATTGGAGAACAGTCAATGATCACACCGGCTCTTGTAACGTCTGCGATTAAGCCAGAAAAAACGAAAGTCTGTCCCAAGCACTTGGTTCACATACATCATTTTTAACCTTCGGTTTGCAACCAAAAGTTAGAATCGTTTGCACAGCGTCATTGGTACAACATGGTGATTTTCAGCAACCAACGAAGAATGTCATAGGCTTTTATCTTGCAGCATTGCTTTTTGTATCTAACAGCTCATTTTTAAACTTGGCTGAATTCAAAAAGATGTTATCTTTTTTTCAGAGTTGCACCAGTTGTCTTACCATGTGGATCTGTGTAATACTAAAAGTTTTCTACGGTCCACTCGTCAAAATTGATTACTTCTACTAATCATGCTTAACGTCTCCCTTTTCTGTAGTATTTGACATACTTTAAAAAGAACAGGGCGTGTAAATTTGTTTTGCTTTGTTAATCGACGCATTTTCTAACGCATCTCATAGGAAATACGCAAGATATCGTCTGAAAAAGGAACGAAGATAGTGATAATCTCACGTTACATGTCACACTGTAAAATTAGGACCATAATTTAGATCGTTAATATCGAAATGATTCTCTAATATACGCAGTGTAAATCGTCGAGCAATTACTAAGTAAATTTACTTCATTTTGAGGGATAGACTATATAATTATATAAAAAAACAATCAATAACGATAATTATGTTCATTTTTTAAGCCATGTATAACATACACAATGAAGTCCTGTTTAACGAAGTGCACCGCTCCAGAAAGTTATTATTCAGGAAACTTTCCAATTTATGTAACTTCCGTTTAAATGTCTACTGTGTAGTCAAATAAATCTTTCGTACGGACCAAAAGAGCAGAAAAATCTAATCGAGAATAATAAAATTTACTTAATATAAATAAAGCCTTTAACGAAATGGATTTATCATATCTTCCTTTGCCAAGTTTTAATATTTTATTGTCACATAAATAGACATTAGTTAAAAGTAATTTTTGGTTTGACGAGCGTGTTAAGACCATTTTTAATTGTTATCACAAGCGACGGCAGATGCACAACCAAATAGAGACTCTTTAGCAAATAATTAAGTTCCTCAATATGTGGTAATGAATAGCAGCCGAACTTCTGCTGTATTAGATCTTAGTGAGTTCTACTTCTTAACCGGTTAATTTCGCATTTTATCTAATGTACTAAACCTATGTTTTCTTTAAAGAAACGAGATCATTCGATGTACGTCGTATCGAAGCAAATTTGAAGTATATTATGATGTAAGATGTACCAACTCCCATACGTAACTCATCTTATGGCCTGGTTCGATGGCCGATAGCAATTTCAGATTTCGATGAAACTGGAAACTTAGAGACATCTCACGAAGAAAGTGATCACGCAAAAATTTTTGTTTTATCTACGCATTCGCAATACGGCGAAGAAAAATTAGAGTTGAGCTTAGAAAAAACGACAATAATTCAACTGTCATTCTCATATGCCAAAGAAAATGATTAAAAGAGTTTTTTCATTAATTACGGAGGCGTAATTAAATTTGTAACTGGATCAAAAATTAATAATTATGGAACGACAGGGATTCTGTATTGGTTCGGTTAAATGAATTTCGAGAGATACCATGTGAACCACCAGATGAGGATTGTGATGAAACCAAGTCGCCAACAATACATCCTTTTCCGCAACCAATGAAAAGATTTGTTAGATAAGCTTGAAGGGAATTCATTTCATGAATTCTTAGACAATTGTATCTATCAAAAATTTTTACATTCAATTGATAACATTGAAGTATTTAGCCTAAGTACAGGACGATTCAAAGTTTTTATACGATTGATCGTTAATCTGATGGCAAATATTTTGCCGCTACCATAGACAATAACACGATAGTTATTTATCTTTTAGAAAATACTTTAAAGGTCGATAAATTTAAAGAAAGGATAATAAAATCAGGTTTACTTGGATTCTATGAAAATGACACAAAACTTTTTCATAGAACAAAATGACCAATATAGTTGATCTTTTTACTTCTAATCCACCTTATAATCAAGAATTCAAGACTAGGCAAGAAAAAGTAAAATGGGTAACTCATTTGTACAATTCAAAATCAATATTGTTGGGTTTCATAAAAGAGAAACAATTTGAACATGTACCATTGGAAGAAAATTCAATAATAAGAACGAACCTTGGTTCCAAACCTAAAACCGAAGCCGTCAAACATGCAAAGAAACTTTTGAATGGACATCAAACCTATAGTCGAAATTTAAACAATACAAATATGGAAAGAAATTAATAAAAAAGAAGCAAAAGAACGACTTGTGCATATTTGGCGAATCCCAAAAGAGCATGAGCAGCCCACGTGTACTAAAATTTTGAATACTTCGGGTGAAAGAAACAGGACTTGTTGCGAGAAACAATTTGCGTAAAAACAGACGAAATTATTGAAAACACAAATTGGGAATTACGCATATATGAGATGCTACATCAACAACGTAAACAAGCGAAAAATATTGATCGTTATAATAAACTAGCAATAATATTTGAATCTGCCGAAAGATCACCAAAGAATATATTTAATGTTATCAAATTATTAATTTGATTTATTTAAATGCAAAATTATTATATTTTTATAAAAATTTGTTTTTATAAATATCGTTATATTCAGTAAATGATTTTAGTATCATTAGTCAAGAGCCTTCTATAATGCAATTCAATCTGGATGTAAAAATGCATTTTGTAACGAATCTAATTAAACTCGGAATTAATTAATAAACTCGTGATATAATGAATTTAATTTTTACTAATATATGCTTTATAAAAAAATTTTTTTTATAAAATTACAAAGAAATTTTGAATATTATTTTTGAAATATGATATTTTTGCATCTAATAAACCAAATTAAATTCTTTTCATATCATTTCATTAGATATATCTTGACTAGATCTTTTTTAATAATGCAGTTTTTTTATCTTTCTATTATTAAATTCAAAATAAGTTATATACAAGTTATAAAATCTGTCATGTAAGAGTTTTTTGATTGATTATCATGAATGGCTTGAATCAGTCATATAGTTTAAGCTCAGTTTTAAATTAATAATGGTGATATAAAAAATAAGCTATTAGCTTTTATAAACTGAAAGCTAATAACTTATTCTATTGAACTATAAAGTTTTTTAATATATACATTTTGTAAAATTTGAAGTAAAATACTATTATATGCATTATACAAAAAATAATTTATATTACTTTTTTTTGCTAAATTGATTTAGAAATGATTTTTGCTTTTCAGTCATAATAAATATAACTGCATTATATTATTCTATTAACTCTTTTCGATACACAAGATCTTTTTATATCATGTGACCTTTCTCAAAACAAACGCAACTTTGTTATTATCCGCTAGTTGTGAAGGTTGGGTAGAAATTTATTTGGTATAGGACCATACTGATTCTAAAGATATCGTAGAAGCTCACATAATAGTCCAAATATATGCAATTTGCTCTCAACCATTACCAGATTTTTTCACTCGCTTGATATTTAACTCAGTTTTCTCTAACGACTCTTTTGACATGTCGACGGAGGGTGTTGAAGATAATTGGGAATCAAAGACATCTATGTTGGATGAAGGCGTCTTTCTTTTAATTAAATGTTGTATATTATTGATGAGTTGATTTTTCTCTCCATTATTTTTAGTAGTAGTAGTATTTTTCTTTTTATTATTATTAGTATTAGTATTAGTATTAGTATTAGCATTAGTATTGGTATATGCTGATATTAAAGGTGATGAGGTAATCGAAGAACTCGGTTGTTTGTTGGTTGGTGTTGTTTGTTTTTTCCTTTTTATAAGCATTTGCAAATTGTTGACTTTTGATGTAGATGTTCTAGAAGAAACAGATGAAGTCGATTGTTGATTCATTAAGAGATTACTAGTTTTTTCTTGATCAGAACTGTTTAATTTCCCGTTGAATGTAATTCCAAGCTCGGATGAGCATATTTCCCTCAAAAGTTGTGCAAAAGTGTTTGTGGAGTCTATTGACACTTCTAATGGAAAGAACTCCAAATTTTCTAAGTTTGAAATTACATGGTAATATTGGGCATCAGTCAAGGTCAATCCATCCAGTTTCTTAATTGCTGTTACTTTTATTGATTGTAATTTCGAGTCTTTAGAATCATCATCTTCGGTAGTAACAAAAGAGGAGCTACGTTGAGCAGAACCCCCAAAGTATATCCAAAAAAATGCAGAATTTTTTCCAGAGTTAAACTCTGTAGTGATAGAAATCATTTCCCAAAACTCTTTAACGGTAAAGTTTGTCGGACCATCATCATCATCATCTTTTTGATATTCAGGATCATTCAAAGTTTCAAAAAAACGTAATTTCGGGTCATCAGCAAACCGCGGGACCACTTGTTCAGCAATCGCAGAATCCGAATAAGGAGATCCATATGTCCAAAAGTGGCTATCTGATGCTTCTGTTGGACTCACAATCGGATCTTTGATCAAACGTCGAGCTTCATGTTCAGACGTAACACCTGGAATAAGGAACCACCCCTTAATATTATTATCATCATCTTTATCATTAGCAGCAAATAATTGTTGAAGCAACGTTTTCCACCATCTAATCAATTGCACGTCACTTAACAAGCGTTTTGCTGGATTTTTTGCAGAATAGGTAAATAAATACTCCGGCTGTGCGCGAGCACACAAATGTAATTTGACTCTCAGGTGTTTGAGTTGTGTTGCATAGTAACTCAGGAACCCCGAAATTAGCAATTTAGTGAGACTTTTGATGCCACCTTCACTTACAGGCTTTTGAAAACCAGTAGTATCCACTTTTGAAATGTATAACGCCACAGCATTGTCATCATCATTGTAGTAGTATTCATAGGCCTCTAATGCTGCAACCAAAACTTTTCTATCGGTATTAAAATGTTCTTGTAACAACAGTAGCAAAGAACGTGTGGCCTGAGGCTCATTGCAATCGCGATTGTTTCTCTGTGGTGCGTGTACCGGAACAGCAGTGAGTTTAAGTTCCGTGGATATAAGCTGAACATTATATTTTGGTGATGAAGTTGGTAGCTTTTGTGACATGTAGTTTGCAATGTACCTCGAGAGAGGACATTTTTCTGATCCTTTTATGTATGATAATGTTTATTACTCTTAAAAATGAAGCGAATGTTGCAATATTTATATTGGGACTTGCCTGTAGAAGGTTTCGCAAGTTCTGTCATTTTTTAAAGGAGGTAGTCAATTTGCGATTTGTAACTACTCAAAATTAGACAGCAGTTTAATGAGTTTCTTAAAAATACAGTTTCGATACTTAAATACAAGATAAAAAGTACAAATACCAGCTCGACAAGATAAAAATATAACTAAAACGAAAGTGATGAAAATAACTCTATAAATGCAATTATGATAGTTGATAAAATAAGTCCCTATTCTTTTTTTTGTTACATACTATATTAAAAAAAAAACAATTTTATAACCAAAATTTTCAAATTGTGGTGACACAAATGATGTAGTAGGATACCTAAAATCGTCACCTTGACTGTAGCAATCATAATCATCGAAAAGAATGATCTAATCTATTGTTTATCTACTAAAAACCCCCCGTATCCAAACTCAACTTGCATTCAATACAATATCAGGAATTACTGCACGTTTACTATCACCATCAGCTTTTTCGCCGAGTTTCCGGATCTTTCTCTTTTCCTCCTTACGTTTCTGCATCTCTCTTGTCTTAATTTGTCTCACAATATCCAAGTCATCCGAGAACCACCATTGTTTAACAAAAGAAAGAACACATCGCGGCAATCCAGCCACTAATATCCCGAAAACGAGTCCGAACCAGAATTTGCCCTCGCTAAACACTTGGTCACCGATTCCGTAAATGGGGCTGCTCTCGAATATTCCATAGACCAAAATAAAAACGAATAGAATAAGTATCTCGCCAGCGATAGCGGCGAACATGAACCATGTCCAATGGTAGGTGTTGAACCCAACGAATAAGTTTGCAATTATTACGACGTTGACTACTACGGCGGTGGACATATCAGTTGGTCCGGCGTTACGCCCGTCATGTGAAACTACATTTGTTGAGAATGCATATATCATGTAGTTTGTGAAAAATACTACTATTGATTGCCATATGCCGTCGAGAAAGTATAAGGCAAAGCGCGGTCGGTTGTAGCGCAACTGACGAATTCCCATTTCATAAATACCCGGATATTGCATTAGGTAATGTGCTGTCACAGATTGATCAGTTCCTCCTGTATAACATCAAAAAACATATACAACTGTTAATTAAAAAAAAAATCTAATAGTAATAATACAAGCGAAAAATTATTCACAAGACTAACCAAGAGCAACTACAGGTGCGACCGTAAATATCATATTGTACAACTGCACAAAACTGTAATCGTAGAATATATTTGCCGAGAATCTAAGAATTATCGAGGATTAATATAGTTTGTTCGATTATTCTAGAATTACCAAATCAAATAAAATATGAATAACCAACTTACAGACTGAATATTTGATACCAAAACACAGGGAACACCCAAACGACATTTTTGTAAAAGAAATTTAATATCATTTCTGCAATACGTATGTAATCCCAATGACCATGAACCAACAATAATTTTTTTAAAAATCTAAACTGAGCTATTGAATAATCAGCAGCCATTGCAGCTTGGACACCTAAAAGATTAACAATTAGAAAAAATGATCATGATAAGTAGATATATAGATAAATGTATACAAAAGCGATCCGTAAAAATTAGCTGACCTTCTTGACCAGAAATACCAACACCAACATTCGCAGCCTGAATCATGCTAACATCATTTGCGCCATCGCCTATAGATAAAGTAACCACCTTCTTGCCTTTTCTTATCAATTCAACCACTAATGCCTTTTGTAAAGGACTCACACGACAACAAACTACCGAATGAAACACCACAGAAACTTGCAACATTTTCTGTCGCGAAGCTTCATTATCCAATAGATGAGCTAACGCACCCCCGTCAATGACAAACGCATGTTTTTGCAATGATTCTTCGTCATTTTGACTATTCGCGATTCCGTGTTGTCCGATTAACGAGTCCACGACCTCGTCAAATTGTCGAATTACTTCCTCACGTGGCGAATTTCGAACTACCCAGAGTTTCATTTCTTTGGTTAATAGTTGTGCTGCAAAACCAATGTTTATTGCGGTTTCTAGTTTATCGCCTGTTAATACCCATACTTTTATGCCGGCTTGTCTTAGTGACGCTATTGTATCAGGGACACCTTCTTGAAGTTTGTCCTCGATAGCAGTAGCTCCCAATAAAATAAGTTCATTTTCAATCTCTTCAGAAAGTGCATCCATTTGCTCCTCTCGATTTCCAAGAGAAGTAGAAGCTTCGTGATATTTAGCAGCCCACGATTCAAAATATGATGGCTCCAAACTTCGGTATGCCAAAGTTAATGTTCTTAGACCTGAAATCCACAAAAGAATTAATTTTGTTAAAATTATTTTGTAAGATAAATAATTTCGCACCTTCATTAGAAAATTCTTCGATATCATGATTAATTTTGTCAATTAAATCATCCTGTCCATCTGCCAATCTTTCTATTATGACACTATCAGCTCCTTTACAAAACAAGACAATATCATCGCCCAATTCTTTAGGTCTTCTAACAATAATACTCATTCTCTTTCGCGTAGAATTAAATTCCAAGATATGTAATATCTCGAATGTATAGGTATTCCCAAGAATGTCTACTGTAAGCGAATTGGTAGTGCGAGACAGAAAAGCGAATCCGAGATTTTTGGCTGCAGATACTAAAGCTGCTTCATCCGGTGATTCAGCTTTGTAAGCGAGTGGACAAGCGACAGTATCATCCAGAGCTTTTGCAATAGATTTCGGACCACTTGATGTATCTGTTCCAATATGCGATGCATTTAGACCTCTGACCATATTACCTATACGACTACTGCTAATACGGTTTTTTAAATTTTTTAACGATGTTTTGTGCATATCCATGGATGCATCATGTTTTTCTTCCTCATCTTCAAATTGTTGTTCTGAATGTACTTCTGAGAGATTTTCAGAGATCGGATCCACTACCACAGTATGACAAACAGCCAATAATGTAAAAAATTCTCTAATGTATCTTGATCTTTTATTCGCATCTTTTTCCTCCAACGAAGAACCCTCATCTGCATCACCTTGCAAATCCTTAAATATCTCTGGATCAACAAATGTCAAGAAATCTCGATTCGTACTTGCATATTTTGGCTCAAAAACTTTTCTTAATTCTTCTTTATATTCCCAGAAAATCTCGTCAGAATTCACATTAACTTTGGCTGTTTCACCCTGCGTTATTAGCTCTTTTCCTATTTCTGCATCGGTTTTTCCGGCCCATCCGTTATTTCCGTATAATTTTCCGCCTATTGAGCATCGACGAAATTCCATGATATTTCGTGTCAAGGTACCAGTCTTGTCAGAAAATACGTATTCAATTTGACCAAGATCATCTGAAAGATTCCACTGTAAAATGTAGCGTAAAGAATTTATTAGATATACGCGGTCACAAAAAAAAGCCATAAAAAATTTTTGAAGCTTGCCGATTTTGGGACACAGGTTGCTTGTGAGTCTTCGTCAAACATATCAAGATCGTTATATATGAAAAAAGCCTAATAGTTATGATTTAAAATAGTTAATATATTGTACATTAACCGGGAAAAAATTATGTCTATAAACAATAAAAAAACTAACTTGAAATGTTTTCACGAATTCAATAGAAATATACAGAGAGATTGGTATTATGTTCTGAAAGATAACTAAGCTTGCACTGTACAATTAAAAATGCGTATGATTAATAAAAATCATTTTGTTCTAGCAAAAATTTTGAAAAGACTTGGCAATTTGCACCTACCTACCAGAAAGTCAAAAGACTAGCAATAAAGGCATTATACTGATTACTGTCTAACAACGAGGTAGCCACACCATGGGTCTTATCTGATAAAGCTTGTGAGGATAATGCACTTCCAATCGCGCAAATAAGAGCAAGGACAATAAGTAAGAAAAAATTAAATATGACCTATTATAAAGTAAATGCGTGTCAAAAAAATTACGTTTAGTTCGTCAATTCGATAGATATAGATGAAGAATCAATGTATATACTCGCTTCTCGATTCATTTCTTTTTCAATCCGACTTCGTTTACTCGGAGTCTCACCAGAATTCAACATAATTTTTGTCTCAACCCCAGTAAAGACCACCACGGCAATCACCCACTCAGTATTACGTATTATATGCGCCCGAAGCAATAAATTATTGATATCCAAAGCAATACTTGTCTTTACTTTTTAAAGTTTAGATATTTATGTTAGGACGATTCGAATCATATATAATTATATATGCGCTAATAGACGATGTACCTGAATCCGAATTTGCTAGCACAAGAGTTCCTTTGTAGGAAAAAAGATTTGAATTTGGTGGCTCTGAATCAATGTAACAATTTAACTGAGTGCAATCTTTTGCTGACTTGATGTTTTTTGTTTCAGCAACACATCGACGTGGTTTGAGATTAGTTTCCCCGTCAAGATCCTTAGTTTCCACATAACAATTGCCTTCGGGCTCAGAAGTAGAAAGTATGATTGCGTCGGCAGGAACAGCGTCACCATTGCGAAGATACAAAAAATCGCCAACTCGCACATGTTTCCACATTACTTTTTTAAATTCTGGGGGTCCATTCACTTCATTAGAGGGAGGCAATAGAATTGAATCATCATTATCATCATCTACTACTTTTACTATTTTTTCATTATTAGCATCATCAGTAGCAGGAGGTGCATTATTGTCGATATGTGTCGACCGAGTATTGGTAGATGGTGGCGGTGAAGAAGACCATAATTTTTTAATGGTAATAATTAAACTTTTCCAGAATGATTGTTTTGTACAGGAAGGATAATTAACATTGATAAAATTTTTAAGATGAAAACATTTCGAGCTATTAAACGCATCATCGATCGAATGTCTATTATAATCTTCATAGGCGTCTTTACATGCGGTAATGAAAATAACAGTGGACAACGGTAATACAGTCAAAATGGGATTATTCGACTGAATTTCCTTGATCATTCCAAGCACCGCCATCAACAAAAAGAACATATTCGCTGCCCTCCGAAACTGCTCAAACAAATTTTTCGGAATAAATGTAAGGGGGGTATACTTTGACGTGATAATCTTATTCGAAACATATCGTGCTCTTGGTTCACCGGAGCGATCCAAAAGTTCTTTGGGTAAGGGTAGATTAGTGAAAACACGTCGTTCGCGAGCTTTTGTTTTCCGATACTGAATGCTTGAGGTGGTGTCTGTTCGGCGGAGACGTGGGGTACTATTACTATCCCTTCTCTTCTGATGATTGTCGTCATTTCTATTGTTACTTATTTTAACCTGGGGAGAGACATTATTTTCAAGTGTTCGATCCATGATTGAAGATAATTATTGATTATGTAAATACGTAAATAGCAAATAAACTGTGAATTTTCTTTTATGGATAGTTAATCTTTCTTCTCCCCTTCGTTATCTGAGCATAGTGAAGCGGTATGGTATGTCTGTCTGCAGGGAGACATGAAAAAGAAGGGATTTGCGGATTCGTGTGCCGTTTTCCCGTTTATCACATTGTTACTAGATAGTACAGAGCAATGGGATTCCTGATTTTGGAAAGAAGTCACACGTAATTCACAAAAAGGTTTTCTAAGGTTATATAAATTTAGTAAATTCCAAAAATAACCGACCAATCTGTCATATTATTTTATTTTGATGTGTGTGACGTGCGAGACATTTTACTACAATTATTCTATTTTTACAATCGAGGATTTGTATTTTGGGAAAAGTATCGGGATTAATCGAACTTAAAATTTTTTGTATATATTAATATAGAACGTCAGTTATTGACCTCATGTATCAATTAGAATTGTATTACATGTGCTTCATGGTACTAAATTACATAAATGCTAAGTGATATTCCTTTTTTTTTTCTTGGCGTTGATTCAAAAATTCTATAGTGCTTTTCGATTCATTCAATTATGGTATTGCCTTTTTCAGTTTTTTAATAAAATCCTCGTTGTGTGTATGTATGCATACATTTTTGGGAATACCATATGAAAGTTTGTGTTTTGTAGAGCTTTAAAAAATCATCTTTTTTTTTCTCACAACCAAAAAAGAGATCAAATTCGTCTGTTATAATTGCTAAAAATAAAGTTCATTTTATAATACTCCCCTAATATGATCCAATAACACATAATCATTTTCTTTTTTTGATTCTAGACCCATCGCTATTTCGTTTTTTTTTGATTCTATATTAAATTGTTATAGCGCTGAAATTTAAATGAAGGAGCAGTTTGTATTTTTTTTACTGCTAGATGTCACATCTTAATCATCATTTTCTGGCTGAGTCACAATGAATGAGCGCAATATTGAAGAAGCCTGTCATTCAGATAACGATGATAATCATTATGTTAATTTTAAGTTTATTAGAGAATGAAAAAGAGATAACATTTACCACCAGGAATTTCTCAATTTCGCGTCGAGTCTCCACTGTTTTGGCTTGTTTCTCGGCAAGTTCTTGTGTGAGTAAAAGTTTTTTTCTACGCTTTTCGTCGCGTTCCGCCTCTAACCTAAACAATCAAATCACATACACACCAATTCAAACCTTATGCTAGAAACCAGAACGATAAAGTACCTTTGACATTCAATCATTTCATTTTTGAATCGCTGTATCGTAAGATGATGTGAGGAAATTTTCTCGAAACTATCATCTTGATTATTATCGTCAATTCCCATTTTGCTATTAACCACCAGCGTAGACGAATGCCCTGGTGTTCGTGCGGCAAATTCTTCGTTCATAAGCAAAATATCTTTAAATGTGAAACTATTCATAGAGATCAAAATAATCCCTTGAGAAAATCTTGAAAGATACATGTATATATACCGATTTTCCCTGCATTTCTCAATTTCTCTTCTTAGATGTCCTTTCTCATGAAGCAAATTCTGTAGGTCAAAATTTGCCTGGTTTACTTTTTCGCGAGCTTCAAGAATGTTTTCTTTATCAGCTGCTTTATCAAGATGAGCTTTGCGATTTAGAACTTTTAATCGAAGTGAACAGTATTTCGAATTTTTGGTTAACTCGGCAAGACGATCCGCCGGAAACTAGAAGAATAATAGAAAGTAGAAAATTATAATGTTGTAATTAAATAATAAAGGCTATAGGTAACCTACCGGAATCTTAACTTTTGTCCCCGTTTTTAGCTTGGAAAAAAATTCTTCCATGATTTGTGCTGTGTCTGTCTTTAAGGTGAGAAAAATGTCGTCCAGCTCGTTAAGGTATTTCAGTTCTGACGTAAAACCATTATATTGCTCCGTGAATCGTTTGAATTTTGTTGGTTCGCAAAGGGATTCTATTGGAAGAATTTGTTCTGTTTGATGAGTTTCAGTCATAATTTTTCATTATTGTAGTATGTAAAAAAAACAGTTCAAAAAAGTGATTCTGACCTGACAACTGATCCAATAGTCTCATGATATACGGCTACCATCAAACGACCCGAAACTCATAACATAAATTTTCCGAACCCTCTTACCCCGTGACACAATCTAGAATAATGTTTATAACAATAAAGTAAGTTCAAAAACAAACTACATCCAAATTAGAACAATTAGTACATTTGGGGCTTATTTGAACACGCCTTAATATTGCTTTTATTTTTTATTTTTCCTTATAATTTTTTGTTTTTTTTTACGAGTAGAATTTCGTTCAATTGATCAACTGCATATTAAACAATAGGAACAATTTTGGGTACAATGTTTGATGCATTGGACCACTTCGTAAAAGATGGAGAATAGTTTAAACTCTGGAATAATTTGTAATGATTTCAACGCAACCTCAGTTTCTATACTTCGTTGGAATTTATTTCATTATGATCACAATTTCCAGTTTGCTTTATAAATTGTCCCAAAACTTTCAAACGGAGTCCGCTCGAATAATTGATCTTAATTAATTTCGTTATTAGAAGATTAGAAGATGCAGATCTATAAATTCGTTTGTGATATTTGAAACATCCAGAGCAGTAGCATTTTTTTGACGTACATTTACAAACATGCATGATCGTAGCTCTAAGACCATTTACAGTGCAACGACCAAGTTATATCCCGGTGTTATTTCGTGCCTTTATGGTATATAAAACGTCACTAATAAACGGCATATGTCACTATATACATCTTACGACAATTTTTACGTCTACATCAAAGGTGACGTAACGCTGCGGCTTCTAACGCTGCGGCTTCAAACGCTGCGGCATCAAATAATAAGCGTATAAACATAACGATAATATACAATTTTTAACGCTGCGGCATCAAATAATCAGCGTGTAAACAAGCGCGTAAAATAAGTAACGCTGCGGCATCAGTAACGCTGCGGCATCAAATAATCACGCGCGTAAAATTTATACTAAAAAAAGTTTCAAGGATATTTATATATAAAAGGTCTTTTAATTCTTTTCAATCCCACATGTTGCCTTTTTATGAGTTTTTTACTTTGGCTTTTCCTCTGGTTAAAAGTCAAGGTTTTTTTACACTCTTGGCTGACTTTTTACTCCTTTTTCAAAGCAAAAATGGAGTGGTCGTTTCTAACTAGTCCATTTTTACTGCCCCGTTTATTATCCTTTGGCTCCTTCTTTTTTCTATTCCTTTTCCAACGCCATCGAAAGGGGATAGAGTCGTTTCTAACTAGTCAAAATTGCTACTTTACCTTTTTTTATAATGCCTTTAACTTCTTTTTATTGGAAACTTCTGGTATAGTATCGCGATAGCGATAGCGGTTGTTCCTTTCTTGGTTCGAAAAAAGAGAAATCTTAGTTTTCTTTTTCTTTTTCTTTTTCTTTCTTTGCTCGTTTTCGTTGGAACTTCTGGTATAGTATCGTGATAACGATAGCGGTTGTTCCTTGCTTGCTTTAAATAAAACCCCCCAATTAAGGTGATGAGAATACACCTCTATCAAATATTATTGTAGGGCCTTTTCCAGATATTGGTCTTATAAAAATTCTGGCGGTCTTTCCAGATATTAGGCCGAGACAAAAAAATTCTGGCGGTTTTTCCAGGCGTTAGGCCGATACAAAACGTCTGGCGGCTTTTACCAGATATTGGGTCAGCACAAAAATTCTGGCGGTTTTTCCAGG